TCCTCTTCTGAGATATCTTTAATTGCATCCGAAATGGAAATTCAATTGGCGTCGAAAAAAGCGTTCAAACATACATCATCTAATTGTTTAAAAATTATCAATTTTTCAAAGAGAACAATAAAAAAGTTACACATTCATTCCTAATCACTATGTATTGTCTTTATTTCCGAAATGTATCGAAATTTCACTTATGTCATTTATCCTTTGATTCATACGTTTCGCTTTCAGTTCAGCAAGACAGAAATAAGAAAAGACTCACACAGAATAAAATGACTGAAAAAAGAGAGAAATTGAATCATGTTCTTCTATTCTATTGTTTAATGGAAAGCTGTCACTCCCTTTCTACTTCTATTGCAAGATTTCAGTGGCACTCTGCCAGAACGCTGTACATAGTCATTAGTGTCAGTTGCAGTTACATCACCGGGATTAATTACTAAGGCTCAAAGTACCAGTGCTTGGCCAATGAATGGAAAAATGGTAAGCGCCATTTTTTTTATTTCTAATTAAAAAAAACTTCGCTTTTTTTTAATTGTGTTTCTTAACGACTTTCTCACCCATTATTTCCTCTTTCAATGTCTTAGCTCCATTTTTGTTTTTATCTGATGTCTGAAAATATATCTGTCTTGTTAAGATTCTTCTCAACACCTCGTGGCTGTGTATGACTGTTTCTTTTATGTTGGACATTTTTTTCCGCAAATTTTTTTAACATATATTCATCCTAATCTTTTAATATATTGACTTTGGTTGAAAAAGTGAATTTGGCTCACACACCTCTTTTGGAAACACTGTCAAAAACCTTAAGATAATTTATTAAAAGTTTTGTATTAACACAGTTCCCACGCAGAGGCGTAGCTAAGGCTTGCAGCACCTAGGAGCAAATTCAGATTTTGCGCCCCATTTCATTATGCTGTGAGACTTATAGGGGACTTTTTGGGACCACTCTAAAATGATTCTGTAAAACTCATCGCACTTGGTGCAGGATTTTTAAATTTTGCATAGAATATATTGATATCTGGTGTCTGAAAATACATCTGTCTCGTTAAGATTCTTCTCAATGCCTCGTGGCTGTATATGACTGTTTCTTTCATGTTGAAAATTTTTCCCGCAACTTTTTAACATATATTCATCCTATTCTTTTAATATATTGGTTTTGGTCGAAAAAGTGAATTCGGCTCACACACCTCTTTTGGAAACACTGTCAAAAAAACCTTAGGATAATTTATTAAAAGTTTTGTATTAAGTTCCCACGTAGAAGCGTAGCTAAGGCTTACAGCACCTAGGAGCAAATTCAGTTTTTGCGCCCCATTTCATTATGCCTTGAGACTTATAGGAGGCTTTTTGGGACCACTCTAAAATGATTATGTAAAACTCCCCGCACTTGGTGCAGGATTTTTAAATTTTACCTAGAATCCTATTTTTTCAACTTAAATAAAATATTTTGTCAAAAACAACGTTGCGTGATAACTTTCGATTCAGTTTAAAATTTAACAATATATAATACTAATGTAGTTTCTATTCCACTTAGATGTTTTTGATCGCATTTACTGTGTTTGATTGATAAGATGACTCAGATTCAAATCCCAGTGACTGGTTGATACGAATTCTGCTTCCAGTTCGCACCAACCACAGTGCTGAGTAAAATACCCTCAGTGCTAGGCGGATTATTGGTTAGAGTCCTCTTGCCTTTGGGTTAACAATGAGAGGTTTTCGTGGTTTTCCTCGCCATGCAACCCAAGTGTGGGATAGTACCATCAAAAATGCCACTTTGTCCCAAAGCTTTATCCAGGAGTTTCCTTGTCTGCGGGGATGGATTCAAAATTATAAGGCTACGGAATTGAACATTCATAATCGTAAAGTAAGAATAGGGTCGGTTGTACAACGCCAGCTAGAAATAGACTTCCAGTTCAACTCATAGCTAATTCGGAACGAAGTTTGGCGAATTTATAGTGACTGTAATTTGCTAATGAAACTGGTGATATTTAAAGAAGAAAACAATTTATTTATAGAATTTATATCTAATTATTTTTCATTATTTTTGAACCCCCTATGACTTTCGCAGATGTCACTTCTTTTCCCCAATAGCTACGCCACTGTTTACGCAGTAAACGAGAAAAAGAGTAGAGTTCAGCTGCAACTTTATTTATTTTTAACTTTATGGGAAGTGCGTTTAAGCATATTTTATCAAAAAGTATATTTATTATTGAGAAAGTCATGGATGTTCTATTTAGTTCAGAAATATCGCGTTACGACACCCAATATTTTCTCTTACAGTATCTTGCTGCATTTTGTTTTTATCTGATGTCTTAAAATATATCTGTCTTGTTAATACCTCTCAAAACAACTCGTGGCTGTATGTGACACTTTCTTTTCAGTTGGATACTTTTTAGCAGTTATTTAACACACAAGCATCCTCATCTGTAATACATTAATTTTTGTTTGAAAAAGATAATTCGGCTCATATATTTATTTTGGAAACGCTGTCAAAAACCTAAATATAATTATTTCAAAAGAGTTTATGCCTGTTTGGTATAATGAGGTAGCAAAACTGATAAAAAGGTAGTTGAATTGAAGTGCAATTTATATATTTTACCTTTACAGGAAAAAGTTTTAAGTATTAAATTTATTCTATCAAGCAATAAATTTGCATTTTGAGATAGTCATTGTTATGTTTTAATCAAAATGCCGCATTACGGTTTTCTCCACCATTATTTCCTCTTTCAGAGTCTTAGTACTATTTTTGTATTTATCTCATGCCTGAAAATATCTATGTTGGATATTTTATTTAGGGCGGATTACTTTAAATTATATTCCTCATTCGAATCATCATTTCGATAATGGTTTAGATCAGAAAAAGTAAACTCGATTATCACATAGTTTTTGTAAATGCTCTCAGTGACTTAAGTTATTTTATTGAAAGAGATTATATTTGTTTTGTATTGACAGAATTTTTACGATGAAAAAAAAATTTTGTAATAGAAAAAGAATTGAGCTGCAATTTTCGTTTTTAATTTTATGGTAAAAGTAAAATTGCCCGCAATACGAGGGTTTAATTTTTTAATTTTTTTCATCTTATAGTATATTTATACGATAGTTAAAAACATTAAAATGTTTTTAAAAAATAGGCAATAATCTTGAGAGATTTCGAAACTGCAAAGGTTATTTTTTATTATAAGAAGTATGAGACACATTCATCTTTTTTTCATCCTAATTTGAACTTCGTAGTTTAGTTGTTTTGCGTCTGTGATTGTTTTAATTTGATTTTTATAAGTCATGTTTCTGTACTTGACACTTAATTTAATGTTATACTTTGTTTGTTGTTATTGTTTCTAAGGTCATTTGCCAATACTAGCAAGACTGCCATAATTTAAGACAGTCGAATTTAAGAATTTTTTGATTTGCTTATTTATGCAAAAATTTTTTCTATATTTATTTATTTATTGTCCGAAAATGTTTTGAATGATATTTTTTAGGAAATAAGATATTGTTTTATTATATTTTGAAAAATCAGGGACAGTTCTGTTTTTTTTTTTTTAGTCATGGGTATTTAACGCCGTACGATTTCAGAACGTATTTATGATATTTTTTTTTTCGTTCCGATACGTAAATTTTGTACAGAAAAATTAGCAAAAAACCTAAAAGACAAGAGCATTGTAAAAAATTTCCTGATCAAATAATGGTAAAAAGTACAGGCACTTAAAGTACCGTTACTCTTTACCTTAAAATCCATTTTTTCCGGAACAAAACATATGATATACCATAATTTTTACAGCAACAATCATCGTAAAATCACTGAATTTCTCGAATTAAATAAATATAAAACGCACGGTACAATAATTTACAGTCAAAATCGATTTTACATATAGTGCTTCCGAATTGATGGTACTTTATAACGTGATTTAATCAGGAAATATTTACCGCGAGGACAAGTGTATGATTACATTCAAATGAAACCAAAAATAATTTGAATAATTTTAATAATTTTCAGACCCATAGCTTGAGTTATACCTGAAATATGACTCATCGCATTCTTTTTAGCTTCATTTAACAAACTGAACTAGGTATTTTATTTTTAAGAACTAATTCTCTCACCAAGGCACAACAGAAGTGAACATCATAAGCATTATCACAAGAGCTATTTGCACACATTCCCTTAACTGTTTAGTCTCATGATTGCAAGGTTGATAATCTTTGGCGGACCAATAATTTGAGTATTACAAGAAATATGAATCATCGCATTAGTTTTAACTTTTAGATTGAATTGGGTATTTTGTTTCAGAGCTAATTGTCTTACCAGGGCACCAGAGAAGAGAACATCACAAGCATTATCACAAAATTTATTTACTCACATTCCTTTTACAGTTTAATCTCATTATTGTAATGTTGATAATACTGGTCAGACCCATTACTTGAGTATTACCAGAAATATGAATAATCGCATTTTTGTAACTTAAATTACGGAACTAGTTATTTTTTATTTTAAAGGATCTAATTGTCTTAATAAAACACCATAGAATAAACATCACAGGCATTACTATTTACACACATTCCCTTTACTGTTTAATCTCTTGATTGCAATGTTGATAATCCTGGGCAGACCCATAACTTGAGTATTACCAAAAATAAGAATCGTCGTATTTTTGTAACTTAAATTACGACACTAGTTATCTATGTAATGTTGATAATCCTGGACAGACCTATAACTTGAGTATTACCAGAAATATGAATTATCGCATTTTTGTAACCTAAATTATGGAACTAGTTATTTTTCATTTTTAACGAACTAACTGTCTTACCAGGGCACCATAGAAATGAACATCACAAGCATTATCACAAGAGCTATTTACAAACATTCCCTTTACTGTTTATTCTCATGATTGTAATGGTGATAATCCTGGGCAGACCCATAACTTGAGTATTACTAAAAATAAGATTCTTCGTATTTTCGTAACTTAAATTATGGAACTAGTTATTTTTTATATATAAAAAACTAATTGACTTACCAGGGCACCATAGAAGTGAACATCACAAGCATTATCACAAGAGCCAATTTACACACATTCCCTTTACAGTTTAATCTCATGATTGCAAGGTAGATGAACCTGGGCAGTATTTTGTGAATTTTGGTGGACTGGTGACTTATTGGCCAAAGATGCAGCATGAGCTCCCTGAAGGTGAATAATCGGCTGCATTTCAGCTAAGCTCTCTCTGTGCAGAAGTTTAGGGGGTGTGGGCACAGCACATGGCTTCAGGGGTGCCTTGTGGGGATGATGGTGATGTGGTGGGGGGTGGAGTGTCAGCTCTTCGGTTTGGCACACTGGAGAAGGAGGAGGAGCTCGTAAAGAAACTGTCTTCACGTGAGCTACTGTGGGAAGATTGGCCTGAGGCTCTTCTAATGACGTTTGCTGTAAAAGATAAAGAAAATTACAAAGATAATCCTTTATATCTTTCTTTATAAAGAAATGTACTAGGGAATAGAAAAAAAAGGGATTTATTATTTTTATTCCTCCAACTAATGAAGACTTTCTTGGACTTTATAAGAACTTAAAATTAGTTAAAAATACTTGATTGTACAAAGAACACATATTTCCCCCCAGATATTAAGAAAATGCTTCATTCTCCTATAATATTATTTAGTCCCACATTGCCTAATTAATGAAATTTTTTTTTAACAAATCAAGTAATAAAAAACAGATAAAAAAATAAAATAACCTTACATTTTTCTTCCGTTTACTAATGAAGACTTACTTGGATTTTATATAAAAATTTAAAATTAGTTTAAAATGCGTAATTGTACAAAAAAAGGCAGCTTTTTTCGCTGATATTTAAAAAAAGAATTTGATTGTTCTATTATGTTCCTCAATCCCACTCTGCCTAATTAATAAGTAATAAATTGAATTTAATAAATTGAAACGTGATATTGATTTATAAATTCTATTATATATTTCTAATTCAAAATTTTTAAAAAAATGACTGGCATGTTGAATAACCAGATTTAAAAACATTTACCAACTGCTAAAACATTTATTCATACTCATATTTTTTTAACTTTTATGACTATTTAAGGAGTTTTGCTACTATAAATACGTATTAGTTAAGATTAAAAGAATATCAGATTTTCAAACATATTTATTTTCGATTATTGAATATCGATTTTTTTCTTACATTTGTACCTACTTATAATGTTCCTGTTATTGTAAAAAAAAGTTTTTCATACTGAAAATCATTATTCCAATTTGTTTTAACGCATTTACGTTATTAATACAAATTTAGTTTAAAGTCTTTATTTTAAATACATTGAACAAAGTATGAAAGGTAATTATTTTCATTATCTTAAATATTACATTTACTAAATCATTATACATATATCTATTTTCATGATATCGTTAATCATTATATATATTTTTTCCAAATTGGTCACTCTTTTAGGGGCACCATATTAGGTGGGTCAACGTAAAGCTTGTGTGATGCAATGTAAAGGTTTAAAATCTCCATATTCAATGTATCGTTTTTTAACTAAGACAAAATTTAATGTTTTATTGCAGTAAAAGTTATTTATAAAGAAATTCCTAATTCTAAAATATATTGTTCCTAATTCTATATGTATATTTTATATTAACCAAAATTGTTATGTGGTAACTTTATTACACAGCAGAGCATGCGTAATGTTGTGCAATAGTTACAAATCTCTTCATTTATATTATTATTTTATGATTATAACAATATTTAATGTTGTATTGCAGTAAAAGTGATTTTATTAAAAAAATTCCTAATTCTTAAAATATTTATCTAAACAAATCTTCTAGATTCTACAAACCTAGATTTTGCTATAGACTAAAAATATTTATACAAATAAATCTTCCAACTTACAGAAGAATTCCTTTTGTTTGAAGCTATTTCAGCTCTACTTTTTCCTCTTTGATAATGAATTCCCACAAAAATAAGTACATTTAGAAGAAAGAGGGAAGCTCCTGAAACAAGGGTCACGCTAAGTGCTGCTGAAAAATTGCTAACAGGCATAACTACTGCTAAAGAGTCTGTCGCATTCACTGTTGTCGTAGGTTGTGTGGAATCCTCAGTAGAGGACTGTAAATTGGAGTTTTCTGATGTTAGAATATCGTCCTTTTTACTTCCATCCTCATTAGAATCCTCAGTAGATGTAAGCGTATTGGAAGGAGTGGCTGCATCGGCAGAAAGCTTAGATAGAGAAGATGGTACTTGACGAACAGGACCTTCATAAGAATTGGGATTATCGTGATCATCCAGTAAATGGTGTTCAGGATTTACTTTCACTGAACTGGTTTGGTGGAGTTGAGGAAAAAGGTTTAGCCAAAAAGAAAGACGATGTGCATGGTAATGATCTCTCACTTTCGGTTTTAAACCTAAGAAACAAACAAGAAGGAGATTAAATAAAATAAATAATATGAGCACACGTTGAGAAAAGAGTATGATCTACAGACTATAAACTAAAGGAAAAAACTATAAACTAACAGAATATGGTAAACGTTACTGTGTTCCTGGCTCTATGGAAACACCAAAAAGCTCATTATTTTTACTGAAGAGCTTTGGTAAAAATAATTGTGAAATATGGTTTTATAATGCGTAATAATGTGGTAAAATTTTGTAAACACTGCATGAAGATAAATTTACTTTTCAGTTTCATATTTTTGCTAAATGTGTGGTAATAAAAACTTTAATTTTGAAAAACAAAATTTCCAGTAAATCACTGCCATATGAACTGCAAAATTATCTAAAGAATGGTTTAAATACCATAAATTATCGTTTCTATTATCGAAATTATGCTTTTTTTTTCATTAAAAAAATAAAAATGTCAGTACCATATGGTACAGTAGTTTAACAGAGTTTTTTTTTCTGTGCTATAATGTAGTTTTTGTCAAAGTATAAACAAAGTTGGTTTTGTCAAAGTGGTTGCTTTAAAGCAATTTAAGTTATCGCTAATACTTCCTTTTATACAGATCTTTTAGAACTTATTAAATTTTTAAAATAATTATAGAATAAAGAAGTCCATTTGAGTTGAAAATGTATTCCTGGGCAATGTTTAAAATATCTAAGAATTACATATATCGCAAAAAATACAAAACTACTATGTATAAATTGCTGAAAAAAAAGTCTTTTTTATAGGAAAGCATTCGGCAGAATGGTACCGTGATAATCTGTATAGTATATGTCACCAACAAAGTATAAAATGTAGGCATTATATAAAATACCTAGAGAAGTTTGAAAATGCCTGCCGTTTTCCGCTTTAAATTTATTATCTAATTCTTTGCAGTATGCCTTTTAATATAATTATGGAATGTCTGCATAAAATGTAACATATAAATTCCAACATTCATTTCCGTTAATTTCTAAACATTATATTCATTGCCTAAGCATTCCGCAGAATGTTTGAATTTTATACTCATCATGTATCATAAATGAAATATTAACGATAAAAAGTATGTTAAGTATAGTGATTTAGAAAAAACTCTTGAATTGCACACGGAGAAAAAAATTCTATCAAAATTACCGTTTTGCATGGTAATGACATTTCTTTAAAAAAAAAAGTCTGTTTTAATTTTCATTGTCAAATTACTATGTAACAGAAATTACTGTGTATTACGGAAAAATAACCGGCAGCAGTCTGCCTATCGCTAACCAACATAATCTTGACCTATTAACTATAAAGTTTACATGACCTATTAACTACAAAGTTTGCAGTAATGAACATTTTTCACCTTTACGATTTTGAAACCATTTACAGCTAGAATGATTGAAAATACATAAATACAAAACTGTACGGTGTTGAAACCATTTTCAAATAATAGGGTTAACAAACCATGAATACGAAACTGTAAAGTTTCTCAACCATGCACAACTAGCATGGTTTTAAAACCGTGATAAAGAAATTTAACTGGACATTGGAGCTAGGCTTTTCGTCAGGTAATGGGCATTGGAGATAGGTTGTTGTTTAGTTGTGTATTATCATATGAACTGTGGATGGTTTAATTAATTTCTATGGCTGTTTCACCGATCACAAGAGATGGGAAATATCAGACTTTTCTGTGTTAAGCAGCATTACGGTAAATGCATGAATGAGAGTAACGGATCGTAGTAGTTCAAGGTCACAAATTGAGGTGCGCAGGACACTGAAAACTCTCCATGCGCTAAAGAAATGGAGGAAATATTATTGTGTTGACGCTGGTACTCGAACAGCTGTACTGTCGGTCATGGGATTGACAGAATAGTTCTCTTTGCTTTAATATGTACCTAGCAGCAAGGAACTAAATGACTTCATTAGGGGAGCCTCGTTGGTGCGATAAAATTCTGGTCGTTTAACCGTAATAAGTGAAATCAGTTAGTCAACAGTTTTTATCACGTTTAAAAGTTTGAATACCATCTTATTTATGGTTATCCTACTGTTTTATTTGAATATGGTAAAATGAAAATGAATTTTTTTTTTATTTAAGCATTTTTCCAAGCTATTTCTAACAGTATGGTAAATAAAACCAAAATGTACTGTATTTAGACCATTAATTTTTAATTTTTCTGCTCACATGGTAACGCTGTTATCGGAAACTCAGATTTTCAAAAATACAGAATTATTACCGAAATATTTTGCTTGCTTCTAATTTCATTTTTCTATAAGTATTTTATAGCATTAAAATTCATTTCTCATCCTGAAAATGAATGGATTTTTTGTTGACATAATTTTAGCAGAATTTTCGAGATTACTTACCGAGCATCATATATCTTTGGTGCACTTTGTCGTAGGGTTGCCAAGTCATTCTATCATATCTGCTTTTAGATTTATCGCCAGGTTTATCAGGTTGCACAGTATTTGGATCTCTATAAAAATGAATTAGTTTATTTTCAATATAATTATTTTAGCTAAATAAAAATAATTATATGGATATTATTTTGTAAAACAAAATTTTCTTTTTAAGACTCCATTTAACAAAATCATTCCCCATTTGTTTAGTATTGTTAGAATAACATTATAATTGTCTTATTGAGTTATTATTGACGAACTGGGATTTATCACCAATGACGAAAACAATGTTGGTGTATACGCCCCACTACTCATGATATAGAGTACTCGTCTCCCAATGAGGTGACCCATGTTCGATTCCTTGCACTGGCTGGTCGAAACGAATTCTAATCCCGGATCGCATCGTCCACAGTGCTGATATAAAATTATTGTTAGTAGTAGACGGATCATGGATTAGAATCTTCTTGCTATCGGACTAACCGTGGGAGGTTTTAGTGTTTTTCCTATCCATGTAACGCAATTACAGTTTTATTTCTCCAAAAGTCTAATTTGCCTCACATGCTTGATGGAGGAGTATCCTTATCTTCTGGATTGGGTTTAAGGCAACGGAATTGAACATTGATAGTTGCAAACTCAGAATTGGGCTGAACGCTCAACACCGGGTATAAAAATAAGTAAAATTCAGATTGAAGAGTAAATTATGGTAATAATCACCACGCCTCCTCACCTTACTCCCCAGCCATCCAAGCACTCACAATGTCAATAAGACATGAAATTGTATTGTGATTTTAGTCAAGCTGAACCATAATATCGTGTTAAACAAGTTATAATGATACATTTAACACAATATAGTTCAAATTTGTACAATAATATGCCAATTTAAGCAAAGTTATTGTTTAAGACGCTATAAAAGATTTAAAAAAATAAATATTGTCTGCTTTGCAATCTTTAGTTTATATTTTTGGCCAATATGTGAAAAATAAGAATGTGGTTTATTTTATAACATGTTGATGAAAAAAATGCTTACATATCAACGTACGAAAAGAATTTATTAAATCTTTTAGAATTTAAACAATGTCATAATTTTATGCTTTGAAACTGTAAGATAATGAAACGGTTCCCAACGGTAAAATAACGAATTCACTACTCATTATTCGTTAATAATTGGAATTAGTTCCTGACTTTTACATAATTTTTTAAAATTTCAGACATTTTTTTGTCGCAGAAAGAGTACAATATGTTGAAAAGAAAATATTTATAAAGAAATGCATCTAATTAACTAAGTCATGATAACTGATATGTTTCGTTGTATCTATTATCATTTTAAATAAATAAAAAAATACAGTTTTGAAGAGACACTCTAACATTTCAAGATAAATTGAGTTATTATACCAACGAATAAATAACTATATATTCTATTGCAAAAATTTCATTCTTCTCGAAGTGATTTTGAGAAAATAAATTAAAATATTTAAAAATATTTACATAAGTGTATGAATATATTCCTTTTACGAAATAAATATAGAAATGAAAGTTGAAGAAAAATTTTCTCTCTTTAAAATATACACAAAATTAAAAGAAAATAATTCCATGTATTGATCAAATTTTAAAATTTAAAGGATTTTTCAGAACTAACTTTAATTAATGCAATAATATGTACTTCAGCGTAATTTAAAGTTTGAAACAAATTATGCATTTTCTAAAGATTTCAAAAGTAAAAAATCAGATTATATACCGAATTTACTAAAATTAGTTTCTAACATTTGTCTTACTCATACTAATTACTCTTACTAATTTGTAATAAAAAATTCTTGAGATTTCCATTTTATTCTGAAACAAGAAGTGAGAAATGAACTGATTATTTTGAGTGTTTAAATTGCAAATTTCAGAGCCATTTTCTAATTTTAATCTTAACCCTTTGACGCAGATTATTAAATATATTTTTTTCATTAATTTATATTAATTCTGGTCAAAATAAGTGAAAAATATAATATTTAGCATTTTAATAATTTATGAAAAAAGCATGAGACACCAGTGTCTTTTTCTGTTTTAAAGGTAAAATCTTCGTAACACGGCTCACTTCTAAACTATATTTTTTCGCATTTGCGCTTATTTGAAGTTGTTTAAATCTATGAGACAGTTGTTCAGTTGAAGTTGTTTAAATCTAACAGTTAATCAATAATCTTTAACATTTCTTTAATTTACGAAATAAATTTTCGATAAATTTTTGAATATAAATGAAAAAAAAACCCATTTGTTTAGATTATAAATTTTAGTACAGATATAATTCTTATAACCTAACAGATTATTTTTAGTATGTGTTCGTAGTTAGTGGGTCATAAACATCATATTTTAAAGAGAAAACGGTGCCTCATCTGCGTCAAAGAGTGAACAATTTTTAATTATAAAATTAACTTATATATAAGTAAAAATTAAAACTTTAATCTTTATTTAATTTGCAGAATTGCACAATTGTTTACTACGTTACATTATTCGTATTTGTATAAGTTTTATAAAATTTTGATATTATCCAGGGAAAAAAATGAAAAATTAAAATTTGTTCTTTTCAATTTTCAAATGTTTGACATGTGGCTTTTTTTAAAAAAGATGATAAACATTTCATCTGTAAAAGTGTTTTTCACACATTTTAATTTTGCACTTTCAATGGTTCCAAATGCGATCTTTAAGTTCCAGCTGCATTTTCGGCTTCGTTATAAGTATTGTCCTAGGCGTGCAGGTCACGAATGATTTAGCCTTTGACATGTTCGTCAATATGCTTGGTCAACCTTACATTACGTGATTTTTTTCAAATCTTTAATAATTTAGAAAAAAAATACTAAACAAAAGGTTGGAAAACAGAATACGGAAAAGATATAATCGCGTCGCAAGCTCACACTATTATATCCGAAAAAGGGGTTTCATATCTTGTATTAGTATAGCCAAGCCAAAGCAAAATATATTTTCCTTATATTGTTTTCCGGCTTTTTAGATCTTTTTAAGGACTTAATTAAGGACTGAGATTTATTATTTTAAGAACGTAAATTTTCTTTAACTCAATTTATTTAGTAGTAGTTTTTTTTTCTTCTTGTTTCTCTCTATTCTTAACTTACTATGCGCAGTAAATAAGACTTAATTTTTCCTTTCTCCATCTTCTTTTAGTCTATTATATATATATATATATATATATATACATATAAGTTCAAAATGAAGAATAAAACAAAGAAAAATANACTGTTTTTGGGGTAGAGGTATTTTTAACAATATATATATATATATATATATATATATATCAGGTATTTAATATTCTGTCCCTCATTAGTCACACAGTATATGCTATCCTACGTACCTTATGCCTTAAGCCATTCAATTATAAATGTACAAAGGAACATTAGTCAACGCATTCGAAAGTAAGTTTCAGAAAGAAATCAGTTAAGCATTTAAAATTTAAGACATAATACTTTAAGACTTCATTTAATTGATTTAACAAACTTAGTGATTGTTAAAGATTCAAAAGAAGCAAATTAAGTTTAGAATTCAACTGAAAACATTCTCTACTTTAAAAAAGATAATTTTACCAAATTCAAACTCAAATTCAATTATTTATCATTAGTAAATTGCGTAATTAATTGATTCCAAAGTAAATCTGGAGTTTCATTAGCATACAGCTAATAAAATCGAATGTGACATTTTTTTCATACGAATTATAGTTTTTAACCGAAAAAGTAAGTAGCAATTAATTATTTTCTGTTCTCTTCTGAATTTTATTTGATTCCTTTATTTTTCACGTTCTTGAAGTAAGAGCATCGTTTAATTAATTAAATAATGCAATTTATTAAATTCTCTGTTTAATGTCAAGTTTGAAACCAGACAAGGAAGTATTGAGAATGACAAGAGAAAAGAGAAAAAAAAGAGAATTTATTTTCTCATTCATTAATTTATTACAATCATTTTGTATCAATTTTATCTCCATGTTATCTCATTTCATCAAAGTTGACATTTTTTTTCTTTTAATATTTTATTTGAGATAAAAAATAATTAGAATTATTTGAGTGGTATTTGTCAGTTTCCATTTCAATAAATGACAAACTACACTTAAATTTAAATCAGTGTAAATATTTATCCAGCTATTTGACTAAGGATATATCAAGCTATTTTTTTATCCTTAGACATCAGTTTTGTTTTTATTTGAATCATTATGTATTAATGCAAGCTCGATTTACTTTCAGAAATTAATTATTTTCAGAACTGTAAAAAATAACTGTAAATGCTAAGGAAAAAAATATTTTCACAGATAAAAACTGTTTAAGATAAATACAGATTTTTTTTCGGTTTTCAATCATTACTCGCGCATGCAACAAATCCTGTTTTTTTGTAGACCTTTTCTGTAAATTCGACGATTTAAAGCCGCTTTTCACAGAAACAGTTTTTCTCTGTTACTTACCCTAATCATGTACGCAACAAAATCGTCAATTCAAATTCTAGTTTTTGCCAGTCAGTTTTTTTTTTACCTTAAAATAACTTTTTTCAAATCATTTCATGATTATTTTCTATACTTGAGTTCACTTTTAAAAACTTATTTTATGATTTTAAGCATCGTATAAATTAAATTGCAATTCAACTTCATTGTCTAATTAATACTTCACTTGATTATTTTCTTTCTTTAGATATAAGTTTTCGTAAAGTTAAATTGCCAGACATTCCTATAAGTTTTAAATATAGTTATATAAAGCCAATATAGTTTTAAATGATTTTGCACTTAAATATGATTTCAATAATTAAGACGTTTAAGATAAAGACAATCTGCTCTGAGGATAGAGCACTCACCTCCCAGTGAGGAGACCCGGGTCTGAATCCTGGCTTGTCATGTGAACTCTTCTCCCGTCTCGCACCCACCACAATGCTGACGCAGTTATTTTATAGAGATTTTTTTTTTGTTAAAATAACGGAATTTGTTAAAGTAACAATACTTATAAGCTTATAAAACAGGCGTATGTTTTTAAATGACAGTATTTTTTTGGGCAATCGAAATTTTCATTCAGGTATACCAGCTGATATTTTGTTTCTGTAATTTTATACGCATTTTTTACCTCTTAGAATTAACGCCCGGTGGCTGAGTATTAGCGCTCCGCGCTCCCGTGCCACAGATCCTGGGTTCGATCCTCGGACCGGGCAAGATTGACTCAGCCTTTCATCCCTTCAGTGGGTCGATAAATGAGTACCAAGAATGCTTGGGAACTAAACACTGAGGGTTCCGCGTTCGGCTGACCACCGAACCGGAACATCTGCTCCTGCACCCCAGGTCAAGATCCAGAGCCCAAGGTCAAGAAAATTAAAATGGGCACAGTAAGCCTTGGCGCTCTGTGGGTTGCACACGCCACTTAGTTTAGTTTAGTATTAGAGATAAATCGGAAATGCTATGCGAAAGCATGCCAGGGGTCGTGGTAGAAACGCCACAGCTCAAGAGGATCGATATGCAGTGGTCAAAAGGAACAGCAATGTCACCTCTAGTAAGATAGCTACAGACCTTGCAACCACTACCGGTGTTCTGGTTTCTGCAAGAACCAATTCACGGTGATTGAATAAAGTTGATTTGTATGCACGGAAGCCTGTTCAATGCATGTCGCTTCAACTGCGCTATAGTCGAGAAATATTACTCTGGTGTATGAAGCGTATTGGTTGTGTCACCAACATAATTCTAGAGTGAATTTCTACAACGAATCCTGTTTAACTGTTACAAGTTATTCTGGCCACCATTTAGTGTGAAGAGAAAAGAAACACGTTATGCACAATATTATGTTCATGAACTTGATCGGTGTGGCTCAGGTGTGGTGGCGTGGTCAGGCATGATACATAATGACAGAGCACCGTTTCATATCTTTGGGTGAGGTAACGCTAGATCCTAGTGGTTATGCAGAGAGATTAGTCGGAAATATGTTCGCCTTCTTAGGTGAGTGGTTTTAATCAAGCATTTCTATGCCAGGAATTCTAAACATATAAATGTCGTTTGGCTGAGTTGCGATGGCTCAGGGAAAAAGGAACTCGCTTGCCAATAAGGTGACTCAGGTTCGAGCATCAGCGATGCGATAGTTGGTCGATTTAAAAACTATTTTCGATTAGTTGTAAATCAGTTATGAATTATTTGTTGACGCCGGTTTCAAAATTAAATAATAAATAATTGAAATTGTAAATGAGCTGATTATTTAGAATAATTATATTTTAACTTGCATAGCATTTATACGAACACAAATGAAAATTTTAGTTCTTAGATCTATAAGTAAGCGTAACAAATTCAGTTTTATTAAGAAAAACTACATGCTTATATAATAAACAGAAATAAACGAGAGAGTTAGTATTAAAATAGAATTTAAATATATGTTTCGTTGCATAGAATAATATTATTTTCCCTGAGAACAACTAAAAGAAACCAGCTTTAATTTCTAGCTTTAAAAATAGTTTATGCTCATTTTTACTTTAATTTTATTGTAAAATATTCCAAAGTTATAAAAAAGGAAGTCATCTTAAGTTAGCATTTCTCAATATGCATATATTATTTATTGTACAATAAAATCTCAGTGGGGTCTCATGGGGGATTTATAGCGAAAAGCATTCAAAGTTTATTGAATTCCCAATGATAAACAAATACACAAGAATAAATATTATAGTTCTAAATAAACAAAAAATTGTTATGAATTATAATTCGAATTAAACATTTTTCTATGTCGTTAACTTCAAATATGAATTGTAAACTAGCTGAACTTCGAATAGGTAGACTATTTAATTAAAAAAATATGTTTTTGGAAAATTAAATTCATTATATGTATTTATACATGTTTTTTTTATTTGCCCATAAATAATCTAAATGCATTTATAGAAAATACTTATTAATTAAATTTAATTATTTAAATAATTTTTTTATAATTGCTTAAACCTAATTCAATAATTCAAGCAAATTATTGAGCAATGAATGCAAAAATAAATTTTTAGTTGTTTATCGGAACTAGGCACAAGAATAGTTATGCCGTTTTACCACATTCCTATGGGAACAGCATATCTCAACATTGCAGTTTTTGCAATTTTAATGAGAAGTTTTGCGTTTTACTGAGGAGTTTTGTAAATCCCGTACTATACAGTGCTTAAGCATGATTTTCGCAGGTTTAATTCAAGATATAAAACTAAAATCTCAGTACTCTTTTTCTTTTCCTTTATCTATTTTATTATTCGTAATTATTTTTTTTTTGGAGAAACATTTCTGAAAATATATTTCTTATTGATGTAAATGACTTAATTATATTTTTCCTATTAAAACAAGAAAGTGTGTAACCCATCGAAACAAATAAGAAATGTTTGTTTATTTTCCTCTATTGATGACAATAAAAAATGGAGAAAAAATAATTAAAATAATAACTCCGAAACTGGGCCGTAATGTAGTAAGATTAGAAAATTCTTCTCCATCTAAATGTTTGATTATGGCTTTTGAATTAGAAATCTTGACAAAAGAAATGCAAAGGTCTATAGCACTAGCTAATTTCAATAGGATTATAAATATCAATGGTGAATATTAATTATCAATGTTTCTTAAGAGTCGATATAGCACGACAGTAGTAAGTAGTACCAGTAACAGTAGATATAGTTGATATTGCAAATTTGAAGCGAAGTTAGGACGCATCATAGGAAGTGAGAAGTGAATAGCAACTCATGTACGGAAAAGTCATGATACGCTAATAGGGGCATCTTTCATTTATCAGCTGTCTGTTCGTGCACATTTCAAACGGTACATTTATTTATCTAAAGTTTATTAATAATGTTTTAATTTTAAATTTTCGGGAAATTCATTATTGTCAAGAATCACAATCAAATAGAGCCCAGAAACAGCATGTTTTTTTACTACTTTTTTTATTGCAATTTAGTGACTTGGCGACTATCTGGTGAACCTAACAAGTTAGTCGCCAAATGGCTGAATGGAAATAAAGAAGCAATTTCAGAGCCTATTTCAATTCAGATTCAGACAATAGTCATTAAAAAATAGTGAGCAAAAGTTGTTAGATAATTTGCACAAATAATGAATCATTTCAAACACGTATGAGCAGCCAGTTCATAACTTGAAGCCAGCTCCGATGAAATTACCTCACATTATTTGTTATGCTCTTCTTAATTCAAATGATGCACCCTACTTCGCCTTTAAACCTAGAATCGTTGTATGGAAGCACCATGTATATTATGCAATCATTAGAAAAGTATTTTTCTCCTTCGAAAACCACATTATTGAAAAAGTTCTGAGAGCAAATTTTTCGTTCCCTTTCTTACCGCTAACTAGAACATCTTCCTAAAACTGCAGAAGTGAGATTTCTGACAATATCACTTAAGGGGAAAGGTAAACCTTTAAAATATTAATAATTAATTACTTCTAATCAATAGTTTTATTATACTACAAATAAAATGAATTTTTTAAATTAATAAATGAAACAAAAGAAACGTTAGAATATTCGCGAGATATTAAATAAAGTAAATAATTATCTTTATACAATTAAAAACTTTCTTTCGCAACAGTTTTTATAAAAGAATTCTTTTTAACGTTTTTGGTGACACTTACTTAAAAACGATTTAGATCAAGAGTTAATTTCACATGAAATGATTCAAACTTTTTTAATGTAAAATGCTAATTTTTAAAATTAAAAATTTTGTTTTAATAATAATCTAAGAAAATTCAAATTTATTTTGTCTTTGTAGACAAATATTTTTGAAATCAGATTACTTAATAATTTATCTAATTTATTAAATTATTTTGAAATCAGATTATTTAACAATTTATCTATTTATAACCTTATTTTAAAAATTCATTTAAAAAATTTTTTTTGCGAGAAAGGTTTTTTAATGAAAATAATTTTTTCATATTTTGATATTTTTCTTATATTCGGAACATTTGTTGTCTTGTACAACCCTAGTAGACACCCCCCCCCAAAAAACAAATAGGCTTCTGGCATACAAAATAGTAAAAAATTAATGATTTTGAAACGTTCACTATCCCTTAATCATGTCAATATACATGTTTAACTTAAAAAATATTGAATGTATTGAACATTTCTATAACATTCTTATAAGAAACTTTTTAAACATAAATATAACATACCCATTTCTAGCAAAATTCACCCAATAAGTCATTACAGCCTCAGATAGCACAGTTTCAGGTTCACTATAATTTTTAGAGAAATGTCCTAAATTCTTAACAAGAGGTGCACCAAATACATATTGAAGATCTTCACCTGGAAGACATCCTTGTCTTTGAGGATACTTACTATCCTCTGTTTGATAGTTAAACACATAGAAATATGCTTTTCTTTCACCGGATGAAGGATGGTAATTAGCAGATTTAATGATTGGAGCTACTACTAAGGCATCACCAAGCGCGTCTAAGGTACCATCTAATATATTTAAATCATGCTGTGAGTTCTTAGACCAATCGGTATATTCATTTACTATAGTAAGAAATATCTCCTGCAGGTGATAATTGAAGATATTTCTAACTAGAGTTCTCAAAAGTTTGTCTCTACGTTCAATTCCTAAGCCATCCCTTTCTTCTTGCTGAGACACTTGGAAGTAGGATGCTACTTTTGTTACACCGAACATTAGATCGAATAATCCATATGGATGCTCTGAAGCCAATTCTTCCATCATAACAGAAGGCTCATTCTGGATTACAATACCATCAATAGTAGGTCCGAAACCAGTTAGAAACATCGGAACTGTGATTTGGACTCTTAAAATATCCGAAACAGAACGTTGTCTTAAGCATTCCAAAAGATTGGCTGGATGATTAGTTGGACATCCTAGAGTCCTGGCTATCTGTTGAGCATAAAAATTGGCGTCTCGTGCAATTGCCCAAGGACTCAAGGCAGAGCCACTCATCATGATGGCCCTATGGAACAGGCCAGCAGGAAAAAGTGATGAACCTATAAGAAGCATCAACATATTGTTAGGTTGAAACAAAATTTCTTTTTAATTGGAAGCGTGCTGTAAGAAAGGCACAAGCATTTGCAAGAGTTAAATGTGTTAAATTGAAAACCAATTGGAGAGATTTCTATAAAAGAGATTCCTTTATGAATAGATATATATATTTTTAACGTATTGCATTTCAATGTTAACCAATTGATACACGAAAGGAAACAAGTGCAGGACGGTTACATCTGCAAAAAAACAATAAAGTTGTATAGTATCACCTAATAATTAAGGTTTTGCATAGAATCTTAAAGTGCGTCTAATAATTTGGTAAGGGACTGTATATATACATATATGGGTCATTCTCACGAAAACTGCCTTTTTTCAGTTCATAAAATCCCAAAAAAGTAAAGTGAATAAAAAGCTCTGAAATTTTTTATATTAATAGAAATATGTAATGACATTATAAAGAAAGTATATATCCTATAAATTATACTTAATATTTAAATTAATTAATTTTTTAAATAATTAATTTATAATTAATTAATTTATAATAATTAATAATTAATTAATTAATTTAATAAATAAATTAATTAATTTAATAAATTAATTTATTAATTTTTTAATTTATTTTTCAAATTAATTAATAAGTAAATTAATTATTTTCACTATTTAAAAAGTGAGGGAATGACACTAATAGTGAGGGAATGATATTTTATTTTAATACATGTTTTTATCTAAGTTACATCTACCTAAAGTTTGAAAATGATAACATACTAAGTATATCTAATATTTATTATAATTTAGTCTTATATATTTAATAGTTTTTACAGGTTTGGGAAATAAAATTGGCTGGCACGATTGAACAAAAAAAAATTTGATAATATACTCATCTTGAATCATTCCCTCACTTCAGCGTCATTCCCTCACTTTATACACTAGTGAGGGAATGACGAATTCAATAAAATTTAAAAATAACAGTTAGGCCTAATTAATTTCTGAAGTCAATCACATACAATTATATTCATACAAGAAAGCAACATATAATTATCCACTTTCTCGATGAAGTTGTATTTTATTTTACTCTAAAAAATGACATGAGGGAATGACAAATGTAAAAAATTTTACCTGGTTTGATTCATTCAAATTTATTCCACAGCAAAGCTTCTTTAAGTTGAAGATGGAAACATACTGCAATTTTGTTCTATGATGCCAGTTGTTAACTTCTGAAGTTTTTATTAAAATATTTTTATTCTAAGAAGATTGCAGGTGATAAGAACATTGTTGTGAGGGAATGACGCGAAACACTGGGGACAAAGTTTAAAATAGTGCTGTGTTAATATTTTTATCAGAAATTAAATTTAAAATTGATTTTCTGAATTCTATATTTCAGTATTCTGAAATAAAAAACACGAATTTGTAAAAAAAAAATTTTTATTTCAGAAACAATTTTTTTCTTTTTTTAAATCAGCAGTGGGGACAAGTGAGGGAATGACATATTGGTATATTTTAATTACCTAAAATAAATAAAAAATAAAAATTGATAATTTTATTTTTATTCTTTTGTTAGCTTGCATTCTGAAGGACACTTTCCCTGAAAATTTTTTTTCGTAAGTTGTAAAACAAACATAAAATATACTGGGGACATGAAAATGACTGTTTTTGTGAGAATGACCCATATAAAAGAGATTTCTTTTTTGTCTTTAGATTTTTATGAAAAGCATTATTTTTCAAGCATTAATACGATAATAACAATTTAATAATTTTGAAACTTAGAAGCACAAATCAAGCAAAAAACGAAAATTTACTGAAGATATGTATTTCAGCAAAATATCATTTCATCAGGGTACACACTGTCTGCCGACACACAGGAGCCTTTCTGTCGTCAGTAGTACAGTATTACCACCGACAGTAGCCTTTCTGTCGTCAGTGGTACAGTATTACCACTGACGACAGAAAGACTCCTGTTTGTTGGCAGACAGTGTGTCCCTGATGAAGTGCTGTTTTGCTAACATACATATCGTTAGTGATTCTTGATTTTTTGCTTGATTTGTGTTTCGAACTTCCTAAATTATTAAATAACTTGGTTTTAGCTGCTTTTAGTGATTTTCCATTTTGACTTATTATTTTAAATGTTATTTTCTAATTTTGTCTTTTTCTGAATTTGTGTAAACAGTTTCATTCTCCGATTAGATATAATTGCAGCATTTTTACCCTTTCCATAGTAAAAAGGCAAAACATGTCGAAAATGTTACTTTTAATTTTCTATATTTGAAAAGGCACCAGCCAAAAATGAATGCGTAGAATCAGTCTTTTTCATAAATAGGCCTTACTATATCAGACAAAAGCAAATAATAACGTGAAGGTAGTCTACATAGCGCAAATTATACTTTACCCTTTAGTGCAAATTCTGCTGTAAACGGGTCCTTTTTGGTCTGCATAGCACAAAGTATACCTCTCCTATATCTGCTTTCGAAATTTATAATGATTATAAGACTTAAGTGGGAAATTTGGCTTCAAAAAAATACAATTAAATCCAGTGAAGAGAAAAAAAAACGAAATTACTTTTCAAACAACCCAGAATATAATTATTATTTTTCCAAACTATTTTCCCAGAGACGCGATGGCTTCTGGGATAGCGTGTTCTCCTTCCAATGAGGTGAACCGGGTTCGACCCCCATCGATGGCTGGTTGATACGAAATCCGCATCCAGCTTGCACTAACTACAGTGTTGACGTGAAATATCCTCAATGGTAGACGGAACATCGGTTAGAGTCCCTTTGCCTTCAGGTTAACCGTGGGAGGTACTCGTGGTCTTCCTCTCCATGTAACACAGATGCGGGTTAATTGCATCAAAAAATATTCCACGAAGGCAAAATTTTCCCAATACTTGATCCAGGAGTCCCCTTGTCTTCTGGATTGGGTTCAAAATTACAAGGCTACGGAGTTGATCATTAGTTGTCGTAAACCCAAAAAATTAGGTCAGCTGTTCAACGACGGTTACAAAATAAAGTAAAAACTTATAAAGATAAAAAATGTTTTTTGACGCAAACTTCAGGGTTAATTGGAAAATATACTGCATCCGGTTATTTTACCGTAATTTTAGAGTGAAATTTCTAACAGTGTTTAATAACTTTTCTTTTTATTCTAATATTATTTCGTCACCCTACGCGACTTTCACAGCGTACAGATCATGTGGTCGAAAAGTTGTAAAACTAAAAAACCTTGAGCCTTTTATAAGTTAGTCTAAGTCTATATTATGACTACAAGTCAGTTATGTCTATAAGTTGTAATTTTTTTTTTTTTAACCTTTATATTGCTTTGCAGCTCCGCAATTCACGTTTTCCCCTATTTTGAACTGCTTTTAAAATGGAAACCCTAGTCTTCTGGATTGGGCTTAAAATTACAAGGCTACGTAGCTGAACATTTGCAGTTGTAAACCCAAAAATTGTTTCGGCTGTTCAACGACGATTAAAAATTATAAAAAATAAAAACTATTTTTCCAGTTTTAATTTAATTTAAAACTAATTAAAACTAATTGAAATAGCTACGTAGTTGAACATTTGCAGTTGTAAACCCAAAAATTGGTTCGGCTGTTCAACGACGGTCAAAAATTGTAAGAAATTAAAAATATTTTTCTAGTTTTAATTTAGTTTAAAACTAATTAAAATAGTAAATCAAAGTTACTGTTTCAGGGAGGTTACCGTTACATGATCTTTGGAATTTATTTTCTCAAAATAAACATCTTACCTTTCGCCATAGGAGATAAGACAAGAAAATTAACAAGAGCAGCTCCATGTCCTTGTCCAAAAAGGGTGACATTTTGTGGATCTCCTCCAAATTCTGCAATATTTTCTTGAATCCAATGTAAAGCTGCTACCTGATCTGTAATCCCGTAGTTGCCTCTTGCTGATCCCTCTATAACCGGTAGAAATCCTTTAAAAAAAGATAACATTACTAACGCTTTAACTCTCAAATATTCATAAGAATTTTGTTAGCGAAAATAAATTCTTCGTTTAAAATTTTTTCACGTAAAGCTCAAATGTTTTCCTTGTAAGAAAATAAAAGTAACGTAAGGGGAAGGATTTAAAATTTTTTTGTTCAATAATTCGATTTTTTTCGTCAAAAAATTGAGTTTTATCAGTAACGTTGCATTTAATAGATTCATTTTTTTTTTCGTTTAAGGTAAACTTTTATTCCACATTTAATATGCGTGTTCTTCTGAGTATATTTTATTCTCTTAAAGTTTTTATATGATAAATTGCAGGGCTTATAAAAGTACCAAAAAATATATAGTGTGAAATATCCATTCTCCATTCTTGAAAGAGCTTCATTTTTCGTGTAATACACATTACTTCTATTAATTTAAATTGGTTTATAGAAATAAAAAGAGTGAACCATAAATATCATCTTCTGAATAAATTTTAAATTTTTTTTAATCAGAAATGAAGACAAGAAAGTATGCATATGGGGTCGTAAATGGATTGAAGGGGGAAAAAACTATCTAAATCTGACAAATCACAATTAAAGAAGATGGGTGTACAAAACAACGAAACCAGTTGCATAGCAATATGAAAAATTAGGACGTTTCTAATAATAGCTTTTCAGTTCATCATTTTTCATACCGCAATCAAACAGGTTTTGTGTTCGCACACTTACCTACTTCAAAGATGATTGTCATGTTTCCGTAATTTTTTTAAAAATAAATGTCAATTTGCGATCACTATGTGTATATGTTTTTATCGCCATTTTTGATAAGGATTATTGTCATGTATAATGCAGGCAGGGATAAAGATAACATTTTAGAATTGCCTACTACAACGCAAACCAGTTATCTCTTAACTAGGAAGTTTGACTTATAAGAGTGGTAGGGAATTTTACGAGAAAAGTTCTCAATACCACCACGAGATGGCGTTTAAATATAATCTTACATATATAGCCCTTACTTTGAACAATCATTTGGAATCACAAAATCATGTGTTCCAAAGTTGAAAAAAAGTGTGCTGTTGAACATAGCAAGTTCTGTCTTTAAAATCTAGTCAACTCTTTGATTTGCCACGACATACTAGATATTTTAAATGTTCGAAAGATAAAAAAAAATCACATATATTATTATCTAAGTAACGTAAATTGGCTGGATAGCCTGGTTGGTAGGGCGCTGGACACACGTTCGTAAGAACAAAGTTCGAATGTGGCAGGCCAAAGACTCCTCGTATAGTAAATGGTGACTGGTACACGTAAAATTTTTGAGGTCCTTCATGTTTCCACAACAAATTATACGTCTGGGGTTACTGATTTGGAGATTGACCGTTCTCTGGTTAAGGTCGAAATTAAAATCTGTGGATGAACGCATGGATGTAAGAATGGGTTCACCCTATAAACGGGTGTGACGTATGGGTGAGACAGAAGTCGAATCCTTGGCTATAGATGGTGGCACTGGGTAACAAGAACAATCGTACTCCTTGCCTTAATGGCCTACGACAGCAACAACAGTAACGCAAGTTTAATATAATAGCAAAAGATCCTTGTGTTTGCGAAGTTTATCACAACACATATTTCTCAATTTTTCTGTTACTGGTATACTGGCAAACACAGGTTTACAGGTCATTTCAGTTATAGCTAAACTTGAAACTGATGATTATGGATATATTTTACTTAAACATTTGAACGTAAATGCAATAAAGAAAAGTAATTTAAGAAATAGTTTCATTGAAAACTACAGATAACTTTTTTTTATGTATGAATTATCTTTCCCTTTTTCTTGAGTTTAAATATATGAATGATAAAATGTAATTCCCTTTATCATGAAAATCAGAAGTAAGCCTCAGATTCTTACATAATAGTAAAACTAAGTAATTATAATTCCACAAAAATTAATTACTTTATCTCTCAACCGAATTTGATCATCTATAATAAAAAGACAACCGACGTAAATAAATTAATTTGAATAGAAAGTGGTTTTAATATTTGTTTTCCTCAAAAAAGAACATCCGTTTTCACTTTGTCAAAATTTAACGACATTTCATTAAATTTTAATGAAACGAAAAAAAATGATTATTCGCTAATTATCTTTATGCTAAAAAAGACGAAAGAAAAATAAAACCTACTCGTTCATAAAATCAGATGAAATACTCTACTTTACCATCTTGAATAAAAGAAAAGATTTTATTCTAAAAAAACTCTGTTTTTTTTCTGAGCAACTACACAATCAATATAAACCCTTTTTAGAATACTTACTTGATTTCTTAAAGGAATGAATATTTTAAAAATCTTCGCGTAACATGAAGATGCAGTGTAAATGGAACGCAACAGAGAGAATCAAAGAAAAGAAAAATTTTTCGTTGTGGTATAAATAAATTACTCATTCGCATTTCAAAGAAAAGTGCCTTTTTCTTTTTCATTCCCGTAAGGATTGTGAAAAGGCAATATTTAAAGAGTGTCTATTATAAAAGTCTAGATTTTTCCGATTTGAAATGCAGAGAGTTCCACGCAATTCAGCGGGAAAAAGTACTTTTTTTAGCATTTTCCCTTCTTTTATCTAAGATTATTTATTAAATGGCCTCAGTAAGAGGAAAAATGCGACGCGAAACAGCAGATAACACGCGAAGAAATTCTTATTACGTAAGATAGTTCTGCGCCGTGTTAAGTTAATAACATCTAGGCACTGGGAACTTATCTTTACTCCAGAAACTGGGGTCAAAAAATCTGCAGAATAAGTAAGAAGATGGTAACATAGTTCAGAGGATTCAATTTTATTACTGAAGTCTTAAAAAATGCTAATTTTCTTACAAGAATTATAAAGGAACGTTATTTTGAGAAAATGACCTAACCTTGAATGATAATTAGGAATTACTGCAATTTGAAAGTATAGTCCAAAATCAGGCACATTAAAATTTGCATGATATATCATGTTTTAGAACGATGGGCTGAATGTTTAGTATATTTTAAGGATTTAAATTTTTATTTACAATTTCTCATTCAATAGTGTAAGTACGTGAAACAGTAAGTGCGAAGAAATTCTTATTGCGTATAATAGTTCTGTGCCATATTAAGTTACTAACATCTAGGTTCTGGTACCTCATCTTTAACCCACAAACTGAGGTAGAAAAAAACCATGAGAGAATATAGTTTGAAGATGGTAATATAGTTTTAGAGAATGTTACAAGATTCAATTTTACTATTGTATTCTTAAAACGTAGTAATTTTCTAACGAGAGAAGTAAAAATGAGGAGGGTAATTTTTTTTAAAAGAATGACACGACTTTTGATGATAATTACGAAATATTGTAATTTGAAATTATAGTCCAGAAATAGACACATTAAAATCTGGATTATATGACATGTTTTAGGAAGGCGGGCCGAATATAAAAGTACATTTTTAGAATTTCACTTTTTATTTATGAATATTTATTCAATAACCTAAGTGTGTGAAGCAGCAAAACATACGCGAAGAAATTCTTATTGCAGAATATAGTTCTGCACCGTGTTGAGTTAATAAAATCACACAGGGAACTCTTCTTTAATCCATAAACTGGAGTCAAAAAACCAGAGGAATAAGAAAAAAGATTGTAATATTGCTAATTAGAATATTACAAGATTCAAGTCTGGTATAGAAGTCTTAAAACATAATCATTTTCTTACAGGAATGATAAAGTTGAGGAACGTTATTAAAAAAAATATGATTTGAATGTTGATGATATTTACGAAATATTGCAATTTGAAATTGCAATCCAAAAATGGACAGATTAAAATCTGGATGATGCAACATGCTTTAAGAAAACAGGCTGAACGCTTAAGTGCATTTTCAGAATTTCACCTTTTATCTGCGATTACTTATTAAATGTTATGCATATGAAGGAAAATGTGGTGCATAACAGCAGATAACACGCAAAGATAACAGGCAGATAACACGCAAGTTCTTATCACGAGGAGCAGTTCTGTGCCGTATTAAGTTAATAACGTCCAGGCACTGGAAACTTATCATAAATAGGGGTAAAAAAAAAACAGCTGAATAAGAGAGAAGATAGAAATAAAGTTTCAAAGAATGTTTTAAGATACAATTTTACTATTGATGCCTCGAAAAAAAGTTATTTTCTTACATGAATGCTAAGACTATGGACTCTTTTTACAAAAAATAATGATCTAATTTGGGTTGCTGATTACAAATTATTGCAATCTGAAATAATAGTTAAAAAGCAGGCAGATAAAACTTTAGTTGATATTGCGTGCCCTTAAATGACAAGCCAAATGTTAAAGTAATTTTGTAGCTTTTATTTTTCTTTTATCTATATTTATTTATTGAACGGCCTAAATCAGAGGAAAAATTCGATGTGAAATAATATGTAAAACTCGAAAAATTCCGAATAAGAAAAAAAAAAACTAAAATAAGGATTTGAAGAGTGTTTTATGATTCAATTCTACTTTTGAAGTTTCAAAACACAGTCTCGTTCTTACAAAAATAATAACCGTATTTTTTTTTTTAGAAAATAAAAATATAAATATCTGCTTGTGGACGATAATTACAAATTATTGCACTATCGTCTAAAAACAAGCACGTCAAGTTCTAGATAATATTCGATGTTTTGCATGATAGACTAATTATTAAATTATATCTATTAGTTTTTAAACGGCATCTTTCAGAAGAAAAATGCTACGTAAACAGCAAATATCGTGTGAAGAACTTCTTGTTCCTTAAGATAGTTCTCTTCCATGTTAAGTTAATAACATAATTTCTTTTTTCTACTCTGGAAGCACTAGGAACTTTTCTTTTACCCATAAAATAAAAAAACTTGCATAATAAGAAAAAAGATAGAAATTATTTTTCAAAAAGTATGTATTGTTTCTCAAAAAACATAGCACAGATTAAATCTAACCTCAATTCTTCGTTATTATAAAAAGTGCTGAAAACATAGTTTTACCCATTTTTGCTCAGTTTTC